TAATGACAGAGCATGTGCTGTTACGCAAAAACCGCGATAGAGTGAAGCCGCGGAAGTCGAAGCGCAAAGTGGCGAGGGTTCACTGTGTTACAATAGAAGAGCTAATATACTTTAACAGGCCCAATCACACTCCATAACTCACTGGGAAATAGCTTGTTCTTGTTTCCTCTAAATTCTGATAGGCAACATTTTAAAGCCCTCTGCAGAACTCTGGCTGCCAGGCTAAGATATGAAGACGAATCATTGCGGCCCCAGGGGTTTAGGCCTTCAGATGGCTTCGTGCTAAGTGAGAAAGGCACAACTGAGACTCGATAATGAATTAAGCTTCCAGCTTTCAGCTTAAAAGGCAGCTTTCCCCCTTTTGCTCAATCAAACCTTACGCACATCCCTGTCCCATTACCAACCTCCACGTCACTTGGGTTCTCGTCTTCCACTTCTCCTTCTTCGGCCTCATCATCATCTGAGCTGTCTTCCTGCTTGTCTAAAATGGGATGTGAGGGAAAAGGTGAACCTTCATGTAATTCTATCTCAGGTTGTCTTAAAAGTCCACTGCTCTCTAACGCTAAGCTCTACAGCTTCCTTCAAGACAGGCCTGGTGGCAGGATGCTGTGTAGCACACCCTGCTCATGCTCAGGAACCAGAAGGAGGTCCAGACAAGGCTGAGTGAAGAGCAGCACTTGCAGTCCCTGCGTCCCTCCAGGGGGATCAGTTACCTTTTTTACTTTTCTCAGACGCCTTGTCCTCACTGGCATCCCTGCCTCGAATCTTGTCCAGGGCTGGCAGGGAGCTCATATTGATTAGCGCTCTTGTGGCTGTCATTTCATCCAGCCAAACCACATTACCTAAGAGAAAGGGTAAAATGCAAGGTCACATTCCATCCAGCCCCATGGTGGCGTCAGTAAATGGACAGATCAACCACTGGCAGCAAAGACGGGGACTCTCGGGGAGCAGGACCTCTGACGAAATCAGCCACGAGATTCCGCCGAATTATCATTGAATATCCTAAGAAGAAAGGATTTCTGTGTATTAAAACTGTTAGATGACCCCTGTGCCGCTTCCCAAGCTACACTAGGCGGGAGCCTGTACA